AACTCACCACAGAGATGAACTGATCACTGGTCCAGCGCTGCAACAGGTCAGCGATGTTGAGGAGGACCAGCCCGGGGATGCTGGGAACAGAGATGAATTCACCAGAACGACTACGGACCTGAAGGTTAACAAGTGTCAGGGGGATTACATGCCTGAGATTGTTTCTAATACTGGCAAAAATCTGTCAAATGTTCACTTTAGAAACACTGACTTTAAAAACAAAGGACAGGTAAGCAATAATCAGTGAAGCCTGCGTTGTATAATTAAAGATAATTTGACAAAGACTTGCAGAAGCAGCACAAACAGGGAAACAGGCTGGTGGGAAAAAGTGGTGGACAGAAGCACAACATAGCTACAATTCCCCAATCTATTGTTCCATGTGTAAATTAAATGTCTCTCTCTGCTTGGATTCAGAGAGGTGGTGATGTCAGTGGTGTTACCTGCAGACCTTCAGCGTTTTGGAACAACAGTGTGATGGTGCCATAGTCTGAATGCTCTCCACATCGCAACTGACCTTCCTTCACTTCTTCATTTTTCACCGGTTGGTAGTAGAGGGACCGCAGAGCTGTGCCGTTTTCCTCAGCTACAGGAGAAACAACAGCCTTGTCACAACCACTGGGTTTAACAGTTAGTCCTATACTGGGAGGCTGCAGAGGGTTAATGAGGCTAACCTTGAACAAGGGAGGTCTGAATCACTAGACTAGCCGGGAGAATGTGTGTAGGGGACCCGACCGAGTAACACTACACTTCTTTTCTAACCACCACCAATGTGCCTCTGCTTAATACAACCTCCTTTAGTGACTAAGCAGAACACTATTTTGTAAATGTGAAGAGGATGCTGTACACACATGCTCAGAGCCTGTGCAGATAAATAAAGCATCATCCATACTGTTTCCACAGATCACCTCACCTGAACCTTTAACCCAAACTGTTGTTTTTAGCCTGAAACCACACACCACAGTGAAAGCAATGAGCATTGTGATCTGTACATACTTCCTATTAAATGGTGTGCACTCAGGAACACTTCGGGGTCCAGACCCAGACTGTGGGACATCACCCTCAGCACCCGCAGACTCAGGTCTTTACAGTGCTGGAAGAAAGACGTATGGATCTCCTGGAACCCCGTCAGGGCATCTGATGATGGCCATTTCTACAGTAGATGAAAACACCACTGTAGATTTTGAATCTGATATTGAGGTTAGGTTTTTTTTTTT